TGTCTGTGTGTAAGTCTTTGTATATTTGTGTGTGTGTATGTGTGTGTGAGTGTGTGGGTTTGTGTGTGTATGTTTTTGTATGTATGTGTGCGTGCGCGCGTGTGTGTATGTGTGTGTGAGTGTGTGTTTGTGTTCACGCATGTACGTGTGTGCGTGTACGCACGCATGCGCGCCTGCATAAAGATGGGCCATTGAAAGGATCTATAGAGAACAAGTGATAATTTCCGTAACGCACGCTGCATAACAAAGGCTTTAAAAACCCTCACTCGCACAAACAGGGTCATTAGTCACACTCATGGCACGTGCATTTTCCGCCTTCACTCACGTGACATTCCTAAACGCTTCGCAAAAATAAACACTCCACCAAAACAACCCGCACACCTTCTTCCATTTTCAGAGTTTTTACGGTAGTCCATTATTTCATAATAATCCTGTTTTCTTTCACTTTCATGTCAGAATAAAAGACTGTATTGGTGCTGCGCGAAGATTTCAGAATTCAATATTGATTTCACAAAATTGCTGCCGCCTCTGCTCTATAACTAGATCTATGTGATTGTTTGTCATGGTAAGGCATACATCGTAACATTAACATGTCGACTAAACACATGTTTTCGCAGTGGCATTTTCTTACGCAACGCACCAAAGAGATGATTTTTCTTTAATGCTCAACGACATTCCTTTTCGGATGACGTAAAACTTTATATTTCTGGTTGTTGGATTATCTCCACAGTTCGCAGAATTACAAAATTCTATTTGACTTTTTCGGCCTTTTTGAGTTACCAAGACCATGGGGTCAGAACTAAATGTTCTAGTCCCTCTATCAAAATCGTAATATTATTCGGAGTTGTTATCAAGATATTAAAAGAATTGCATTCGAAAAAGCTTAAGATGAAATGAAACTTAGAATATTTGACGTCAAATTTCCCCAAACAAGGCACTGAGCAGATAAAACTTGATAATTCTATGGTAACAAATTTTCAGCATGCTAGCAAACAATTCCAATTTTAATATTT